TATATATATATAGATCAATTAGCTTTATAATCATATTATAATTCCCCATAAATTGTTCTATATAACTATTATTTTTTGTATCGGTGAATTTCATCATAACACATATTACAAAATAGATAGATAAGTTTAAACAAAAATATGTTACGTAAGGACATACATTTTTTGATAAATAGTTAGCATAAATAAATTACCGCTACATAAGATGACAAAAACCATTTTTTAGATGACACAATTTCTTTCTTGCATCATAAGTGAGCATGCTTGCATGCAATCTAATCTATTATTTGAAATCAATTTATGTTAACCTTATAACCTTTAACAAATATATTAATAACTTATGAAACAAATTAATTGAACATTGATGTAAAATCACATTTATTTATATATCTTAGTAAATCATTATTTTGGCTTCAAATCCCCTTGTTGCTTCATGATACATGAATTCGTACTAATCATGAGAAAGAGTGTTAATTCTGTATTTTTTATAATTGTTATTATATTTTGTAAAACTAATATAGTAGAAATATATTGAAAAAAGATGTTCTATAAATTGAAATAATATATCGAGTAAGATGTCTCATGTTGAGCCATTTGACATCGTGATCTGTATAGCTAGAGCATTGGATTGATGTATGTTTTAACAGATGCAGAATATTCTGGCAATATTATGCTATCCTATGTGGCGTTTAATTTAAGGATTGAGAGATTTTATTTGATTTCAAGGAATTTGTTAGGTTTCTAAATATGGAGACATTTTAGGAAACTAATGATTGAAATTCTATTTTCTTTGAGAACAAGTTGCAGCCCTAGTTGCTATGGGTTGATGCGTTTTCAGAAGCTCATTTCAGTCCAGAAGATTGTTATAAATAGCATTCAACAAACCTAATCCTAGTGTGGAACTTAGAGTGTCAATTGTTGATTGTTTTAGGGTTTGTGAAGTGTTGTTAATTGTGAGCCTCTTTGATATCATCTTGATACAAAGTATGATTGTCTCTATTGAGTTGTACTTACTGTCCATCATTCATAAGCTCTTAAGCATTGAATGATTGTGTGCCTTTGAATGTCTTCTAAGTTTTCTTGTGAATTGAGTTCATAATCACGGTTGTGATTGAGGGGGATTAAGAAGGGTCTCATACCTAGGTGAGTCTTAGGTAGAAGTATAACACATGTAGTGATTAAGTGAGAAGTTGTAAATGAGGAAGTTTAGCCTCGAATTGATACTATCACATTGAACTTATCCCTGGCTTGGTAGCCTTCATACGTAGGTATCATTATATACCGAACTGGGTGAACAATTCCTTGTGTCTTTTTATGTTCCTGCACTTTTACATTGTTCTGCATATTGTTCATTGTGTTTGTGTCGGATATCGGTGTCTCGACATCTCATAGGACATCTGATATTTGCTATCCATAATTTCAATTGACATTAGAGCAGACATCTTGCTTTGTTCCAGGGTGAGATTCAGGAAAGGTACTTTCTGGTACAATGGATAAGGATAGAGGATTTCTGAACAAACCACCTCTTCTTGATGGATCTAACTATGACTATTGGAGACCATATATGGTGTATTTTATCAAATCAATGGACAATCAAGCTTGGAGAGCTATAGTCAAAGGTTGGGATCCACCGAAGTTTACAGGTAAGGATGGTAAGCTTCCTTATATGGTAAAGGAAGAGGAATGATGATGAGGACAAAGGATCTTTGGGAAACTCCAAAGCATTGAATGCTTATTTAATGGTGTAAACAAGAACATCTTTAGGTTGATAGAGAACTGTACTATTGCTAAAGATGCTTGACAAATTTTGTAGGTTGTTCATGAAGGAACCTCTAAGGTGAAGATGTCAAAAGTTCAAATTCTCACCAGAAAGTTTGAGAGTTTGAGGATGAAGGAAGATGAGAGCATCCATGACTTCCACATGAATGTTCTTGAGATAGAAAATGCCTCAGGTGCATTGGGAGAGAATATTTCTGAAGCCAAGCTGGTCAAGAAAATACTCAGATCTCTTCCAAAGAAGTTTGACATGAAGGTGACATCCATAAAAGAAGATCAAGATATTGACCAAATGAAGGTTGGTGAGCTTGTGGAATTTCTTCAAACATTTGAATTAGGTATTAGTGAGAAATATGAAAAGAAGAAGAGTATAGCCTTTGTGTCAAATACTGAAGATTATGAAGATGAAGGTGACCTGGACAGAGATGACAGACTGTCTAAAGACCTTGTGTTGCTCGGAAGACATTTTAACAAAGTGTTTAAAAAGATGGACTGGAAGTCGAGATCAAATGTAAAGGACAAGTCACTTGACATCAACTTAAACCAGGATGTTGGGAGAAGGTCCAGATCTGCAGAAAAGTACAACCAAGGGAAGGGAGTTCAGTGTCACGAGTGTAAAGGCTTGGACACATAAGATTGAGTGTCCCACATATCTCAAGAGGAAGAAGATGGGGTTATATATTTCATGGTCAGAAGATGATTCTGAAAGTGAACTTGATGAGAAGTCTTCCAAACAGGTTACTACATTGACTGGAAGATGTCATTCTGATGGAGAATCAATTTGTGAAGAAGTAGGACAAAAGAGAATCATTGCTCAACTACAAGCTGAAAATGCTCAACTGCTGGCTGAAAAGGCTCAACTACAAGCTGAGAAGGTGGAGAATTTATCTATCATCTCTGATATGAAAGATGATGTTGTATTGCTCAACTAAAAATTGGACAATATGACCAAATATGTCAGAATGCTCAATAATAGTTCTTATGTGTTGGATGATATTCTTCAATCCGGGAAGAATGCAGGAAATGTGAATGGTCTTGAATTTGAAAATTCAAGTGTGGTGAACAAGGGAAAATGACCTGATGTAAAGCTTGCTCAACCCAAAGGAAAGCAAAAGATGTCAAATAACATGTCTCAACACCCTCAGAGACATCATAATACGTTTTCAGGAAACAAGAATAAAAAATGGAGATGTCATTATTGTGGAAGATTTGTCCATATACAAACCTTTTGTTACAGGTTATATGGTTATCCCAAACATGTGTCACACTCTAGAAGAGTTCATAATGTTGTTAAATAAAATAAGAAGTGGATTGCGAAAAAGGTTGTATTTGCACTCATAACTCACTCTTCCCTCAGAGTCTTTACAAGGGAAGACTGGTATTTTGATAGTGGATGTTCTAGACACATGACTGGTGTCTAGAAATTCTTGGTAGATATCAAGCCACATTCTACTAGTTATTTCACCTTTGGAGATGGGTCAAAATTTAAATAAAAGGTGTTGGAAAGCTGGACTATGAATGACAACATAGTCTTGATGATGTTCAGTTTTTTAAAGGGATAACTACTAATTTGATTAGTATTAGTCAACTATGTGACTAAGGTCTCAAAGTTAACTTTACTAAATCTGAATGCCTAATAACAAATGAGAAGGATGATGTCATCATGAAAGGAGAAGATCAAAAGATAATTGTTATCTATGGTGTCCTCAAGAATCATAATGTTTCTCTACATGCTTATGTCAAAGGAAGATGAGGCTAAATTGTGGCATCAAGAGGTTGGTCACTTGCATTTGAAAGGTTTGAAAGGGTTTGTCAAGTGAACTTGTTAGAGGTAGTCCCAAGCTGAAGATTGATGAGGAAAGAATCTGTGGTGAATGCCAAGTTGGGAAGCAAACAAGGAGGTCACATAAGAAGCTCCAACATCTTACCAATACTTCTAAAGTTATGGAGCTGCTGCATATGGACTTGATGGGACATATGCTGGTTGAAAGTCTTGGAGGAAAGAAATCTGTCTATGTTGTTGTTGATGATTTCTCAAACCTGAGTGAGTTTTATCAGAGAGAAGTCTGATGTTTTTGAAGCCTTCAAGGAATTGTGTCGGAGGATTCAAAGAGAGAGAAATTGTGGTGTTGTCAGAATCAGAAGTAACCATGGGAATGAATTTGAGAATATCATATTTGAAGAATTTTGTACCTCTGAAGGGATGACTCATGAGTTCTCATCACTTATCACTCCTCAACAAAATGGTGTGGTGGAATGCAAGAATAGAACTATTCAAGAATGTGCAAGGGTCATGCTTCATGCTAAGAAACTTCCATATTATTTTTGGTCTGAAGCCATGAATACTGCCTGATATATTCAAAATAAGGTGACTGTCAGATCTGGTACTTCTATTACTATTTATGAATTGTGGAAAGGAAGGAAACCAATTGTGAAATGCTTTTATGTTTTTGGAAATAAGTGCTACATTCTGGCAGATCGTGAGCAAAGGAGGAAGATAGACCATAAAAGTGATGAGGGGATTTTTCTAGGATACACTACAAATAGTAGAGCTTATAGAGTATTCAATTCCAAAACTAAAGTAATGATGGAGTCTATAAATGTTGTGGTTGATGACTCAACTAAAGAAGTTGATGTCCAAGAGGATGTTGAAACATTTTTACCCGTGGATAATGATACTTCTGAAGATGCTGCAGAGTCAAGTGTGAAACCTGAACCTGAAGAGGTTGAGACTGCTGACAGAGGACCCTCCATTAGGATTTTGAAAGATCACCCTAATGATCTCATAAAAGGAAATCCGAACGAATGTGTAGTCACAAAGTTAAGAGAAGTTGTATCAAATGCATGCTTTGTTTCAAAATTTGAACCAAATAATGTCAAGGAGGCCTTGACTGATGAGTTTTGGATTAATGTTATACAAGATGAACTTAGTCAGTTAAAAAAAATGAGATTTGGGAGTTGGTTATAAGACCTAAAGGAACAAATGTAATTGGTATAAAATAAGTGTATAAGAACAAGTCAGATGAACAAGAAGTTGTTATCAGAAACAAAACCGGACTTGTTGTTCAAGGATACACTCAAATTGAAGGAGTGGACTTTGATAAAACATTTGCTCTCGTGACTCGTTTAGAACCCAGTCGTTGGAGCAATAGCAACTGGTAATGTTGTGGTTCTAAAACCGTCAGAAATTGCTTCGGCTTCATCTTGACTGCATTGCTGCAATAAAAATGGGACAAAAATTTCTATACAGGTTTGTCGTTTTTGTTATTATTGATCCTCTTTTCATGGATGGTTGAGAATTTTGAACAAAAAATGTAGAAGCGTGAATTTTTCAGGAAATGGAAAAGTGAGACGGATAGTGATAGCTGCTGCTTTACACCAGTTATTCTGGAGCTTGGAGGAAAATCTCTAAGTGTTGTTGATTCAAATGTCAATTTAGAGGTATTGACTTAGGCCACATTTGCATTGATTCGTTTGAGTTTATCTATTGACTAAGGTCGTGTTTGCGTTGATTAGTTTGAGTTTATCTATTGACTAAGGCTGTGTTTGTATTTACGAGATTGCTGCAAGACGGATAATTTCTGGCAAATAGGGCTGTAACAATGGACAATCCTGCATTTCTCCTGATTATCTTATAACAACGAAAGAATTTGCTCCGAAGTTGGTTGTAAATCTTTGTGTATGTGTATCTAATGTTTGGTGCTTCTCATTTTCAGGTTGATGCTTTAAAGACTGAATTGGAAAACTGCTTTGGAAAGAGCCCAATAGAATCAAAAGACTTGCCGCGCATTGTGAACTCTAACCACTTTGCTTGCTTGATAAAGTTCTTGGACGATGATAAGGTTTCTGGCAAGATAGTTTATGGAGGTGAAAAGGATGAAAGCAAATTGTAAGCTCTCATCTTGTTTCTTATTTTAGTTTAATATAGTGAAAAATCGACGGACATTGACACAAGCAAATTACAGGAGGATTGCTCTAACTATTTTATTAGACGTTCGGCAAGATTCTCTGATAATGAGCGAGGAGATCTTTGGTCCATTGCTTCCGATAGTCACGGTAAGATAAAAGCATACAAAGAACTCGTTTTATGTCATTTAGTGCAAATTTCATTTGTCATGAACAATCTATGCACATATATAACAGCTGCTAGTCCTGTGGACAAATTGCAAAACTTTTAAGCTAAATGTTAAACTAATAACTAGCAATGGAAGGTTGATTATAATACATGCTTTATTGTTTGTAACAGGTGAATAAGCTGGAAAAAAGCTTCGATTTGATCAATGCGGGAACAAAGCCACTTGCTGCATATTTATTTACAAACGACATCAAGTTCAAGGAGCAATTTGTGAAGAATGTTTCTCCAATGGAATGGGTGCATACCATGGAAAATTCTCCTTTGATGCCTTTACTCACAGAAAGACAGTTCTTTATTGCGGCTTTACAGGCGATTCATCGATAAGGTACCCACCTTACACTCACACGAAGCAAAAAATGATGAAGGCTCTAGTAGCCGGTGATGTTCCTGGTGTAGTTCGTGCGCTAATTGGGTGGTCCTAAGCTTTAATTTGTTTTCAAATGTGGCTGCTGGTGTTGTATTGTATCACTTGTTTTGGTTTTATTGTATTTTACTTTTCACATTAATTTCATTGTAACAGAATTTTCAAAATAAACTTATAACTTGAGGCTTTTGCTTGGTAAAAGCAAATTGTTTGTTGATATTTTGATACTTCTCCCAGGCATTTTTACCATGGTTTTAAATTGCAGTTGCATCGCAATCCTTAATATAACATACAATTGTGCTCAAATTTAGCCAATGCGCCTTATATACATCAGTCACGTTGCAATCGTGGAGCCATCAAAAACTTTGATGTGGTCGTCCAAATTAGGTTGCAGGACAAATAGGGCATCAAAAATATAAAAATAAAAAGCTTGGATTAATTAACAAGAATGCTGTAAAATACCAAAAGCATCAGATCTTTGATTATCTGTAAGATGTGTTGGAAACTCAACAAGAAATGTAATTCTTAAGTCTCCTCTCTTCCCTGATTCTCCGGAGATTGACATACCTTGATCAGTAACAATCTTCTGATAGCCAGGGTATATAACATCATCTACCGTCAAGCTCATATGCTCTCCACCCAACAATGGAACCGATATTGTACACCCGGTAAGTGCCTGTATTAAGGGAATTTCTAGGCATAATTCCAAATCATCCCCTTCTCTTTTAAAAAATTGGTGTGCTTTCTCAGATATATGAACCACTATGTCTTCTTGGTATGCATTAGGCCTCATGTTGCCTTTGCCTTCAAATGTTACCTTTGTTCCTTTCTTCCATCCAGGTTCTACATTTATTGTTAATTGTTCCTCCTCTTGAACCATACTTCTGCATAAAACAAAAAGAATAATTAATAAGTAATACTAACTATTATGGCCGTATTTGAGAGAGTGCAACATGGCTCAAAAATGTCTTTATAAAACTGTGGCTAAACAAGGCATCATACAATATTTATCACGGTCAAAATGTGATTAAATAGGATCTCTATTTGTTTTATCATGGTTAAACTGCAGTTAATCTACATAGAGTCTCCAAAAACTTGAGACGACTCTGCTAACTATCAATTAATCAAATGACCGGGATAAATATATACGAACCCGGTATCTGCGAAGACATCTCTCGTGATCATGATCTTTTTCGTGCAACCATAACACAATTCTTCAAGGGTGCATTCGAGATTTTTCTCAATTGGTGGTTGTTTTAGCATTCCTGATGAATTAGAATACATGATTGGAGCTCCATTCTTACGAGTACTACCACTTCTCGACGGCATAGGAGGAGGCATTTTGAAACTGCCGCTAGTATTCAATGAAAAAGGCGCAGGTCCAAAATCATCAAAGCTCTCGACGCTCTTGCTTCGCGTGAGTTTATCCTTCCTCTTTCTGTTAATCGAGTTGTTTCTTGACGTAGAAGCCATCGAATTGGAAGGTATACGCGAATTTCCTAGGCTTCTATGCCTACATAAACAACATCCTAATCTTGACCTCATCATTATAGTCTTCTCTCTTAATGTATCTGCATTCAATCCCATGCCGCGAATTCCATTCGTATGGTTACCCGCTTTGTCATCTACAACAGATTCCTGATGAATTAATGGAATTTCCTTAGATACTCATTATTATGCATTCATGCATGAAATTTCTACGTGATGAATTAATGTTTTTTGTTATTAATAATAACATTGTTTGATCTGTTAAAATAAACCTACCTGCTGAGTTTGTTTGGGGCGTGATGGTTTACCATCGATTGGGGATAATGATGTTTTACGGCGTAACCATATCTTGATGAACGATTTGTATGAATTGGAAAGACAACGAATGGATTTTTTGACAAGCACCATGAGAGAGATGAGATGAGGTAAGATGCAATTAATGCAATGCAAGAGTAGTTACAACAATGTGAACAGGTGAATATGCTTGGTGAACCGAATGTGGTTGTTTTCTTTTTTTTCTTTTTTGGTCAAAGGTTGTTTGTTTTCCAATACTTCCTTTTATTAGTACCATCTCTAAATAGGAACTAAAGACATAACCTTGTACCATTTTTTGGATAGGTTATATACCCAAAAGTCCCTATTGTTTATTACTCTTTCTATAATAAAAATTTGCTGTTTTTTTTCAAAAATTAAAACACAAATGTCAGGATACATTTTCCTATCTCAAAATATGAGGAATTTTGTACTATTAAAAAATGAAGAAATTTCTTTTACAATTGGAAAATCTAGAATATAAAAATTTTCGTATATTTTCTTCATGTGAAAAGTTTCTTAATGCATTTTTCCTTTGAGGTTGTTCGGTATTGTTCAGACCTGACCAATGATTTAAATACTTAAGATTAAATTTATCGCAAATCCACTCAATATGATCCAAACTATAAAAGTCAGTTCACATGAAAAGTGTTTTGGGTCGACCACGTCGACCTTGACTGACCACCAAGAAGGGACTTCACTCATTTTAGAATCTTCCTAGCACACGAGGATTACCATCCTAATGATCATGAGAGATCTCAAGTGTAAGTTGTAACACCGTTCTAAACTCCAAGAAATATTCACGAATAGTTTAATAGTTAAATCAGAGTAAAGTACCAACAAGAGTGTCACATGCTTCATAAAACATCTTAAACAAAAACATCTTGCTCCGTAACACGAGCTTTCAACAATTATCTCATTTATCCTTTTCGAAAAATCAATAAATATTCTTCAAAATACTATGCAGCGGAAATCATAATCACAACATAACTTCATTTATAATATCTTTCAAAACATCATCAATTTACATCATCCATAGTCACGATATTTCAATAACTTAAAACAACTAGAACGACTTATATTATTATGTCAACAAAAAGGAACACAATATTCAAGTCAAACGTTTCCCAACCTGGTGTTACATATCAGAGCAAGACACCTTCTATTCAACAGAAAACTAAATAATTAACTCCAAAGTTATCCTCAAGCTTCTACGAATTATTTTCGATCACGTGTATGTTACCCACGTGGAGGCAACATTCAAAAAGAAAGGGTGAGTAATCATAATTGAAACAACTGGACAAATCATCGAAATAAACAATGAAGTCGCCATCAAACGTTTTTTATTATGCGGAGGAGAAAGATAAACATCGAGTAAACCTGAAGGGAGAAATCACGGTCTTGCGACCAAGAGATCGAGTAAGGAAGTCAGTTATGCAAGGGGAGGATATTAGTATCCCTCACGTCTGTGGTACTCCACAGGATCCACTTAAGTTTGTTCTAATCTAAGGGTTATAAAAATCTATGTCTAAAGCTTAATGCTTAAAGGAGAATGTATGTTAAAGTATTTACAAAAAAAAAAGTTTTTATTAGATGTGTCTGCCGCGGTTGTGAACCTTTGTTCCTACGTACCCTCTTCGTGCAATGAAAGATCAAGGCACTCGTAGTTCACCTCAAAAGTTTTGGTGAGTTGCATGTTTTTTATGAACGATGCTAGCGAAGCATATTCTTTTTGAAAAGGTTTTAAAGGAAAAAGTCTAAAGACAAAAAGGTTTATATTGGTTGGCATTTTGTTGTGAATAATAGCTAATGAACCTCAAGAGAGAGATATTAGCCATTTCTCCACTTATCTATAAAAGGAGTCTTTGAGACTTGAACCATACCAAAGACTAATAATGAAAGAACGATAAGATCAAGAAGAAACCCGCTTATCATTTCTCATACTTAATAGAAGTCTGATTCTTGTCATTTATTATTAAGTAATTTAAGAAGTTTGAAGGAAAAAAGAAGTTTTAGTTTTAATGAGATGCAAAAAAGAGGGAAGAAAAAGTCTAAGGGAGACTAGCAAGATAGTCCTAAAGTTGTCACGCAATGTTGATCCTATAGTTGGGATATGAGAGAAACATCTACCTAAATTAGCATGCGTGGTTTACAAAATCATAAGGTATATTTAGTTCAACTTAGAGAAGAATGAACTAAAGATCCTATGGAGGACATGTCAATCTCACAAAAGAGAAGAAAAAGATGAAGAAGCAAGAAATCAAAGACGTAGATAAAATAATGAAAGCAAACAAACATCATAAAGGATACTTTAGACAAAGTACCAAACAAAATACTTACTTAAATAAGCAAATAAAGATAGAAGAAGAAATGATAGAACAATTACACCAATATGACAATACATCAAGTATAAATGATTATGATAATAAATCAAAATATAGGATCACAAAACATCAAACATACACATGGAAAGATGACAAGTCCTAAAGGAAGGATGATAAAACATCAATAAACATACAACTCCATTTGACAAAACACACAAGAGATAAAACTCTTACAAACAATATTGAAGAAGCGCAGAAGGAGAAAAAGAAAGAAATGATAAGAAATCAAGGAAGTATGGAACCAAAGCACATTAAAGCAAAGTATTAGTTCTGATCCTATCATGTTATATACTTTAGACTATCCTATGCATGGCATCATGGGTCAATAAAGTGATGAAATGGTCTTACTAGACAAGTAGGAGTGCAAACATGCACTTAGAAGACAAGACTTCACATCATGATAAAATATGAAAGTAAGGATGATGCAAGAGCATAGACTCAAGGTGATATAAAGATATATATAAAGGTAATGCACAAGAGATTTAGATCTAAAGGTCAAATGACAAAGCATTAAGGCAAAGGTACTAGCATAATAACATTTATATGTTAGGTGCCTAACCAAATATGTATAAGAAGGTGAAGTGAGGTGAAAGAGATGAAGAAAGATACAAGTCAGAAATTAACACATCTTTATCATTATCACATGAACAAACTTGATAAAGATTCATAATCAAATCATACAAGGAAAGTTAGTTGAAAAACCCTAAGTGGACATAAGTCCTCATGCAATGCTAGCAAACAAACATGTGAAAGGAAAGTGGTCGTGTGAAGAAAAGAAAGTAAACATAGACGTATTATACACCAAGCACATACCAAATAATAAATATAAAACTCAATTAGTCATGAATATCATGGTACAAACACCAAATCATAC